TTGCCCGTTGAGCTGGGGAGAGCTTGGTTAGGTGAACCGCCCTTGTAATGTAAAAGGCTGAGGCTTCAAATTGAGAATTTCAGCAACCCCCCCAGAATAGATGAACACTAAAAAGGACCCCAAAACAGTCGCATTAAGGAGGATCGGGGCGTCTTGTGGACACCCCCTTTGTGCACGAATGTTTGCCCTTACTTTTTTGTAAACAAGCTGTCTTGCATTTGATGGTTTGGGGACCATTTCAAAAAAGGAATTCCTAATGTTTGCCCGGATTTGTTTGCCAGACTTCTTTGGCTGGTTGTTTTTGGAGGCACAGTGGTTAAAAAACCTCCTGTTTTCTTGTGCTTCGCAGCAGTCCCGCTCACGCTCATCATGTCATGACTGCACAAATGCCAGCCAAATGGTAAGAACACCCGCTCACGCGCACCCGCTCAGCACCGCACATGCGCCAGCCAAATGGTAAGAACACCCGCTCACGCGCGCCCGCTCAGCACTGCACACATGCCACCAAATGGTAAGAACACCCGCTCACGCGCACCCGCTGAGCACTGCACACATGCCAGCCAAATGGAAAAAACACCCGTTCAAGCGCACCCGCTCAGCACTGCACACATGACAGCCAAATGGTAAGAACACCCGTTCACGCGCATCAAGTTATGACCGCACACATGCCAGCCAAATGGTAAGAACACCCGCTCACGCGCATCATGTCCTGACTGCACACATGCCAGCCAAATGGTAAGACCTGCTCACGCGCATCATGTCATGCCTGCACACGTGCCAGCCAAATGGTAAGAACACCCGCTCACGCGCGCCCGCTCAGCACTGCACACACGCCAGCTAAATGGTAAGAACACCCGCTCACGCGCATCATGTCATGACTGCACACATGCCAGCCAAATGGTAAGAACACCCGCTCACGTGCACCATGCCATGACTGCACATATGCCAGCCAAATGGTAAGAACACCCGCTCACGCGCATCATGTGATGACTGCACACATGCCAGCCAAATGGTAAGAACACCCACTCACGCGCATCATGTCATGACTGCACACATGCCAGCCAAATGGTAAGAACACCCGCTCACGCGCATCATGTCATGACTTCACACATGCCAGCCAAATGGTAAGAACACCCGCTCGCGCGCCCTCGCTCAGCACTGCACACACACCAGCTACATGGTAAGAACACCCGCTCACGCGCATCATGTCATGACTGCACACATGCCAGCCAAATGGTAAGAACACCCGCTCACGCGCATCATGTCATGACTGCACACATGCCAGACAAATGGTAAGAACACACGCTCACGCGCACCCGCTCAGCACTGCACACATGCCAGCCAAATGGTAAGAACACCCGTTCACGCGCACCCGCTCAGCACTGCACACATGCCACCAAATGGCAAGAACACACGGTCAGGCGCACCCGCTCAGCACTGCACATGCCAGCCAAATGGTAAGACCACCCGTTCACGCGCACACGCTCAGCACTGCACACATGCCAGCCAAATGGTAAGAACACCCGTTCACGCGCATCATGTCATGACTGCACACATGCCAGCCAAATGGTAACAACACCCGCTCACGCCCACCCGCTCAGCACTGCACACATGCCAGCCAAATGGTAAGAACACCCGATCACGCGCATCATGTCATGACTGCACATGCCAGCCATTTGGTAAGAACACCCGCTCACGCGCACCCGCTCAGCACTGCACATGCGCCAGCCAAATGGTAAGAACACCCGTTCACGCGCACCCGCTCAGCACTGCACACATGCCAGCCAAATGGTAAGAACACCCGCTCACGCGCATCATGTCATGACTTCACACATGCCAGCCAAATGGTCATGTCATGACTGCAAACATGCCAGCCAGGAGCAGAAACAAGAGAGAGCGGCCATGAAACCACCAGGTTTTATACCTTCGTGTGACCTTGGTGTTGCTCCGGATTTTTTCCTGGCATTTCTTTTCTCTTTTTTTTGGGGGGGGGTGGGGGGGGGGGGGGAACTTGCCACAATGGAGGACCCCAAAACAGTCCAACGATCCTGAATTAGGAAAACAACTTCACACAATACAGGCTACTGCCATTAAAGCGTGTCCAACATTACAATTGAGAACCCCACATCTGTACCAGGATCTGGCTGCTAGAATTTGTCTACGTACTCAAAATGCCTTGACAGCCTACACAAATACCTGCGCGGGCCTACGCGGAGCCTGCGCAAAGACTACAGAACAAACGGAAGGAAGGCAAAAGAAGCTAACTCCTTTATACTTGACAAACAGCATTGAGCCATGACTTGTTCAAACGCCTACGCGAAAAACCTACGCGAGGGTTAACACAACAGCCTACGTGCAGAAGCCTACGCGAGACTACGCCCCCAATCAAGATTGCCTTCGCAAAGTACATGCAATTCCCCAAGTAAACCTTTTCATTTGATTGAAAACCGCTGCTCAAATGGATTTGAAGTTTGAACAAATGGAACCATTCGTTGGGACCCAGGCGAATTAACAGCTCGACACAGGAGCTTGACTCGTAACCGTGTTGCCAAAGTCTATCGTTTCGGAAGCGATCCAAAAGGCCAGCGGCATGGATTTCAACACGTCTGAAACAGGCACTGTGTCCAACCCAACGCCAACATGGCGCGTCAATTGTTTGAGGGCACCCTTTTTGGTGTAGCGGTTTAAAGGGAACCCAAAAGGGACACCTCACAATTTGTAGGGTCCCTGACTTTTACACACACACACCGTTGTGAAGTGCAGTCGCCAGCGTGCCTAGAGAAAATTACGTGGGCCATTGAAATCGTCCTTTCATACAGAAGCACCATACACACGCCGTGTCTAGCAGGCAGCAGGATTGTATGCTTTCCCTTGAACACAAATTACACGGACAGGGAATTGTCCGGTGTCGTTGGCCGTGGTGAAATTAGCAAATGTGTACTGTACAAGAGCGGGGGCCGACGGCAAAGTGCGAGTGTCCCCGGGTTCTCACAAATCATGATAGTGGGGCTGATGCAGGGAACCCGCAGGGTACGAAACTCTGATGTGACAAAATGTTAAGCATCAACGTTTTCCAGAACCTTGCAAAGGCACACATTGCACATGCTTAAACCCGGGTGAAAATTGTCGGATTTCGCGTAGTCATGTCTTTGGTCCCTGAGAGGTCTTCTGCTTTGAAGGAGAACGACAGGACTAGCAGTTGGCCCGTTGGATTGGACATGCACTAAGCGCCCGAACTGAGACGGGTGTGTCTGTTGTTTTCAAGGTCACTCTTTTCGGTTGTTTTTTTTTCCAAAGGGAGCCGCGGGTTCCCTTATTTTGAGGAATACCACAACGCCTTAACCGTTTGGTTCCGAGAACCTAAACGCATGGCGCAGGCTTGGCCCCATTCCATTGATTTTGTGCACGGGAGATCAGCTGGTGGGCAAAACTTACAGACAACCCAGAGAATCAGCTTGGGGTGGTCACTGCGAGGAAACCGCTACCACTTTGAGAGGCAACCCAGACATTTTTCCCATAAGGCAGACTCAAACCCTCAAACCAAGCAGGTGAGCTGCCACATGCGGGTTAATTTCATGAAACCAACTTGAGCAGGGCTCCCCCGCATTCCGCGTTGCATCCTTCCCTCCCGTCCTCGCCCGTCGCATGGCCCTTTACCGTCTGCAGGGACCGACTGGCCTCGCTCTGCGACTCCTGCACTTGGCGGGGCGGGAGTCGAAGCTCAGGAATGCTAACCCCTGGACTCAAAACCTGAAGCTCTTTGAAGGTGAATTGCTCTCGTTATCCAAGAGTGGTCAATTGATTGGGAAAGAGACTGGGAAATTGATTGACACACAGAGAGCTTTGCCCACTCGCGTGGTGAACTCTGAATAGGGGGTCCAGAAAAATGAGATTACTCGCCGGAGTAAACCGATTTGTGGGTGGTGAGCTCCTTGGCTTCCCTAGAAAGATCAACAACATGCTCAGTCCCGGCAACCAGCCCTGAAGGACACACTTGCGGCAGCTGCGCAACGCGATGAAGCTGTCTATGAAATTACTTTATCTGCGTGTTTGCGGACTCGAAAGCCTGTGAACCAATCCACGCCACGCACTATGCCACAAAAGAAAGTCATGTGGATTCTCCTGAGACGTTGCATGGAACCCCGCCGGCACTCCGAGCATCATTTCATCAGTCTGGCTGAAATACTAAACAAGTATGCAAAACACAAACAAACAAACAAACAAACAAACAAACAATCAAACAAACAAACAAACAAACAATCAAACAAACAAACAAACAAACAAACAAACAAGCAAGCAAGCTAGCTAGCAAGCAAACAAACACACTAGAAATAAGGGAAACGGTCACTCTCCATTTCCGGTTGCAAGATTGTCACAAATGCCGTATTTGATGGGTCCAACATGGAAAATCTGAAGACCCCTTGGCACGGGTGTGGAAAAGCATCCTTTTGATGGGCAAGTTCCACTTCGCACCAGTCAAAATGGATTAAGCCCTATGAATTCAGCACCTCGCTTCCTGAGTGGATTGGCAAGAAAAAGTCTGAACTCTTTGTTTACCACTGAATTGGCTTTCCCGCAAAGAATAAAGTCTAGGAACTCAGGAGTGAGATGGGATAAACCACCTGTCAGCTGATGCAGGATTTGTCCATCGGTAGCAAAGTGGGCATTGACTGCTTCACCGCTCTTACCAGCTCTGTTGGCTGCACAGCTGGCAAGCTGAACCCCCATTTTTCCGCAATCACTGGCCAACAAGCGACAACCTGAAACCGAATTGTCCACACACACACAAACGCCTGAAACCATCAACCTTCCCACATGTACTCACCAAACAAAAGTCAGGGGTCCGGAAACAAACAAAGCACCTGGGCCAATTCCCCAGCGGGGCAGAGTTTTCTGAGAACTAAAAACAAAGGGTGCCTCCGAATCGGGAGCCGTTTCCCGTACCCTGTCTGCTCTCTCGTGAGGGGGAACAAAAGGGTTAAAGCAAAAACAATCCGATTTTTGAACAAACATCCGCAACAAGTGTTCCAACAAACAACCCACCGGGTCACCGCGGGAGTATGAGCCTTCTCAAAAAGGAGCCGAAGGAAGCAAGCATTTTTTGAGGGCCCCAAACCCGGAAGCTGTCGCAGATAGACATGTCACTACAAATTGACGTGGAAATTCAAAAACCCTCCTTTCTGACTACCTCCTTTTTGACTACCTCCTTTTCGGGCTCCATCTTAATCCATCATTTCCAGTCTTTATTCGTTGGTTTTATGGTCGTGGGCACAGAAATGCTTGCGATCGGCTTCGCGCCGCGAAAGGCGAGTGAGTCTTGGGACGAAAAAAGCACCCGGGTAAAACCAAGGGGAAACCACCCAGTTGGGGTCGAAACATCCGGGATAGGCCCACGTCTAGTACTATATGTCCATTGATTTAGGCCAATTTGAGAGGGGGGTTGAACAAAATTCGGCAATTCAGACCTCCAGTTCTCCCGTTCAATCAGCTCTCCCAAGCCAAGAGAGCTGAAGGATTCCTCGCCGATATCGCTGGATTCCACGCCCAGGCGATGCATCTCGCGGTCCCGCTGCTCCAGATCCTCCTCACCCGTTAGATTCCATACATTCACCTGGTCATTTTGTAGGGACCCCTAAGGTTCTAACAGCTGAGAAAGCCCAGGGGTAACACCACATAGAAGGACGACAAAGTCGGCTTACCAACTTACTAACCTGGCCAAACACCCAAGGAGGGCGGTCAAGGCCTCCACTTGGCTCCATCAAGGATATCGACAGATATGGGCGAGGGGTTCTCCGAACAGGAGCCATGCAAATGGGTGGCTTCCTATCAACACCAACCAAAAGGGCCCAACATTTTGAGAAACACTCGTATCAGATTCCAATAAAGTTAGAGGCAGGAAAGCCCCTTTTGATAGTCAAACATGTTCCATTGGGGAAGCCCTCTGATTTGTACATAGACCCCAGCATCCGCACATGACCTCGGAGTAAGCCTCGCACATTCAGTTGATGTTGCTCAGAGGTTCACGAATCCGTGGTGAACAATATAACAAGTGAGAGTGTTGTAAAACATGTAGGGGGGTCCTAAAATACTGTAGGCTTTCGTTTGGTTCCATTCAGACTATCAAAGGTCCACAGTTGTAGGCATCGGACACAATCAGGTGGCGCTTCGATAGATAGGCATGGCCCGCTTGTTCGACACATGAACCGGGTCTCATGGTCGCAGTGTTTCAGTCGGGCTGTCCTTTCTACCCACCCCGTTTGTCTGCCGGACAATTGCGATCAAACAAGGAACATTGGGAGTAACCCCCCTCCTCGCCATTTGCAAATGAACGACTTCCAGAACAACAAGAATACAGAGCCCAATGCAACCTGACACAAAATAATGCTCCAGAGTTCTCTCGAACAAATACCACTATTCGTTTTGCCCGGCAAGATTACACTTTTGCCCAACTCGTAAAAGCTCAAAACCGAAAAGCCGGACCCCGCCCCATTGGCTCTTATTCCAGGTTCCTCCAGGGTTGGCAGCAATTGTTTTTCCCGGGTCCCACGTTTTTTGGGTTATCTAGGTCCTCCAGTAGAGAGGTTACAATAAGGGTACCCTTTTTTCTGTAGTCTATTTTAGTAGGGGAACCCTCCCCAAAAAAGGGTAAAAGGGCACTACTGGGGGACCTAGTTGTGGTTTCAACCCAATTTGCCTCGATCCCGGCCCCCAGATCGGGCCCTCCGCTCCTCGAAGAAGGGCTTCTTCTCTCTGGCCACCGCCTGCACAAAAGCCCCGTCCATCTGCTGCAGGCTCGGCACGCAACTGCGCGAGTTACGCATCTTGTGGGCTTGTGGGGGAGGGGGGGGGAGGATGGCAGAGATGGATGGGGATGGGGATGGGGGGGGGGGGTGGGATCGGGGGGGTAAGCTTGTGGGCTCTGACTGCATACTGAGCCTCACTCAGCGTTCTGAAAGCTTGTCCGCTGTATTCATCAGAAGCTGCACTGGGCCCAGTTGCTTGCATTGGCCACCTGAAAAAGCGGGTATCAAAGAAACTAACTTGGAAAAGCAGAATCAAATGCACCCACAAGCCATCCAAAGGGTCCAAGTCCCAAATAGTTTCAGGATGCAACCCAAGTCACCATGAAAACCTGGCACAAAACAGGGGATCTAACTGAAAGGACTTCTTTCCGCGCCTGTTTAAAGGCAGCTTGCCTTCATCTGCCCGAATTGGGCTTGACTTGAACAAAATCCCTTGTTCCTTCCTGAAGCCCCCTTTGTGGCACAAGTGTTCGTCTTTTGCTCTTTCGTTACGTAATGTTCATGGTCGTACCTTCTTCGAGCGAACGGCCAGAAATATACATTGCAAATATACATTGCGAGTAGCTTTTGCACATTCTTGGATTCATCCTCCAAGATGATCGGTCGCTGAAAGAAGCATGCAAAAATCGAAGTGGAACACGAGCCCACATATCCGCAAAACGAGCGCACATATCTGCATGTTGTTGTTGTTTTTTTTTTGGGGGGGGGGGGTTGTTTGTTTTGCAATTGCTCGCCTTCCACCGAAGAGATTGAAACACAAACGACCTGCTTTGCAAGGACCGCGCGTTTTGAAGCATGGAGCAGAAAAGCTTGGCTTGAACATCAATTTTACGTGACACAAATTGTTGGCACAATCACAATGGGGCCTCCAGGCTACTACCCTACTTGCTTGCAATCTGAGTATGATATTTTACCCAGCTGAAAATTATTCTACTCAAAATTATACGAGCAAACAACTGTAACTCAAACGCCTCAAATGAAGAATCCCCTAGCCGAGAACCTCCATTTTGTGGGCTGTCCCCCCGATTTTCCCTTTTGGTTTCCTTTAAACCAAAAAGAGACGCATGCATGTGTGTTCGTCTTATGATCCAAATTGGTGACCTCTTTGAAACTTGTCTAGCCCCAGCCCTGCCTGTCCCACACCTTCAGATTGGTGGAGGTGCCGACCGCCGTCCGCAGCTGTGTTGCCCAGGTGTGCAACCCCACACTAGGCCTCGGCACATGCCCCGCCCCCATTGCTGCTATGACCTGGAAAAGGCGGTCAAAAAGCATTTTGTTGTTTCAACCAAAGCAACACAACAAACAAGTTGGGGCAGTGGAATCTGGAAGTGCCTCCTTGCGTCGAAACTCATGTAGCATTCCCGGGTTGCAGCTGCTGGATGACTCAAGAGAACCTGCCTGTTTGTTCCTTCCAAACGTGGTTTTGAGGAAAGCTGATCGTTCGATTGGATCTGCTGCCCTACCGGAATTTGATTCCCAACATCAAGCTTTTTGTGAAGGGTCAAACAACTGCGATTCTGTCGCGGCTGGATCCCCCATTCGCCCATTTGCAAATGCAACCCGAGTCACCGCAAAATCTGGATACATGAACAAGAATGAGCAAGACCCGTAATGCAATTTGCGTGTGCCCATCCCTGCTTGCTGGGTGTGAGCCCTATCCAACACTTCAGACAACTGCTGGCTCAAAGGGCCGTGGCAACGCGCAACATAAGCCATGCCTCCATGAGTGAATCAGAAGCTATTGATATATGCAGTATATGAGAGAACCCCTGGCCAAAATGGATAGTTTCCCTTAATTTGCTTTGACACTTGCACACAAGGGGGCTTCAAATTTCAACCGCCAATAGTGGCCCTTGAATTCTCCGAAATGGCAAAATAAGCAAGCCAGTTACTAGGTGTCCCAGCAACTGTGACTTGTTGAAGGGTACAGTGTCCGGAAGGAAACAAAAAACAAAACGGCAACTTGGCTAGGTAGTACTAAAACCTTGAGTAATTGTTGCCCTTGACAGTCGGGTTCTCCCGCTCTGGCCGCGGAACATGGCGACGTGTCGATTGCCTTTCTTCTTCTTCTTGACACTTCTCTGCGAGTCCTGGAATTGAGAGCAGGGCATGAGCCAAGCTTTAAGACTGGATGCCTAAGTGGAAGGCCCAAAATGCCAAGGAAGGCATGCATTCACATGTGGAATACCTCGATTTTCTGTGATACCGAAATAGGCTCTATGACATCACAAGCAATCCCCCGCACAAAAGAACCTGGACCCCGCCAAGAAAAACCACTGAAAAACTGGGGCGTAAGAATGCCTAGGCGCCAGATGGGGAAAGAGGCAACCAGAAGCAAAAAAATCAAGGGGAGACCGCCGACTCCTTACCTACGCCACTGAAACACATCGTCCAAAGCGCCACCCACAGGCACTTGCAAAGAGGGCTGATGCACAACGAATAATTCGGGTCCTGTTGGCCTCATGGTTCCGTAGCGTATCGCCTAGTAATTATCGGGTACAGCTGATTGCCTTTTTGTTGCAAGGTCACAACAAAAGCCCTATAACTCACCCAGTGCTGATCTACTTTGCATAAACATCTCACTTTGCCCTGCCCAAACCTGTGGAACCCTGCAAGAGGATGCTTCAAGTTGCGCGAGCTCGTTTCATCTGTCCGCTTGCCGTTGGATTGGTAGCTTCTTTTCGGGACGCCTCTGACCTCACTCGCCTTCAGTACCTCATGAGCAAAGCATTGGGTTGTTTACAATGAACCAACGAAAAGGTCTGGTGGATTCGCGGTCGCAACAGAAACAAACAGGACACCTCGTTTTGGTAGTTGCCCTTCTCAAGGAATAAACTCAACAACACACATGGGCCAGGTGCCTGGTTCATACCGGGCACCCTAGAATCATGTCCGTGATCAACATGTTCCAGATCTACCATGTTCAACTCTGTTGGAACCGGTTGTGGTATGCCTGCTTTTGCATGTCGGGCATCTGCGAACTGGTGTGTCTTGCCACGTTTTGGTTGCGCCCTTTGTGCTTTTTGGCACACTCCGCAGCCGTGCCGTCCTCGTCGGCCACGATGCTTCCGGCCTCTTTGAGGGAGGCCTCGTTGGAGTTTTTGGAGCTTTTGGACGTGGGATCGGCCAGGAGCGACAGCTTGGATTCCAGCTTGGATTCCAGCTCGTTGGTCCAGGACAGCTTGGACACTCTGGGCCTGGCAATTGCCCGAGGTCTCCTCTTCTTTTCGTGCCCGGTGTCTCTTTTTCGGGCGCCTGGGAAGGGAATAGGGGCTTTGGGTGTCCCTAGGTGGTGGCGGGCTTGGGGATGGGTTGCGGGGGGGAGGGGGGGGCGCTTCCCATCCCCCTTTTTCCACGCGAAGAAACGTCACGCCAAAATGAAGCTCGCATGACATTGGCAAAGCAAGAGGTGGGTGACTTATAATTCAAGAGAGTAAGTTCGGGGCGTCTGCCTTTCGGATGTCTCAAAAACGGCTGTTGATACATCCAAGAATCATTGTTCGCTTCTTCACCTGACAAAGCTAAGCATTGAAAAGGACACTTTCATCATGAGGTCGACAGACCTTCCCTAAGGGTCCCGCCTGCTTTTTGGCTCCCCAACAATTGCTATTTTGAAGGCCCTTGAGGAGTTGGTCGGGGTTCTCCATTGGAGGGCCAAAAAGGGTCGGTGAATTTGCGGCAAATTGAGGTGCGACCCGCCTGGAAGTGGATGCCCCTTATTTCTGGCTGCCCAGAAGCACTGGGTGGGGCACATGCTGTTCGCATGGTTTACGTAAGTTCTACATTGTTTTTGGCTGGTCTGCTTGCAATGGTTTGAGGCATCAAGCGTACTGGTGCCTTTTCACCCCTTCCCCAGGCCAGAATCTGGAGCCCCCTTGTGGCTGGACACTTGAGAGTTTGCTGTGTTTGAGGAAATATCACAGGATTGAACCCTTAGTTATCCCAAAGGAGATCCCTGAATGCGTAGCTCTTTTGGGCTACCATTGTCCAGCCCACGTCGGCTGCGCGGGGAGGATTGAGACTAGAAAAGAGCACCTCAGTTGGGCTCGTGTTTCCAGTGGGCAACCAGAACGCACATGATTCCACTGCACAGTGCCATACAATGAAACCTGGATTTGAGTCGCCTGGCGAATTAGGACTGTCTGCCCAAGTGATCCCCCCAGCGTCGCCTTGCCCCCTCCTGGAACTCGAGCCAATGGCCCCATCGGGGCTCACAGGATTTCCCCTTAAGTGGCAATTTGGTGGGTTCCCACAAGATCGCCACTTTGGGAGGTTCAAAAAAAATGAAATTGAGAGGCCCCTGTACATACCTGTGGGTCGGATACAAAAGGAACATGCACTCAAGTGAAAAAGGCGGACGAGGCCTTCAAAGTTCAGAGGCAACCTTGAAGCAGCTCTATGCTCTCAAAAAAAAATAAACAAGTTAATGGGAAACGCGGAACAATATGTCTGTCCTTTTTTGAGGGTATCGTTTTTTGGCGACTTTAAAAGGAAACCAAAAGTTATGTTTCATCATTATGTCATACCTGCATATTCCCAACTATGTTAAATTTTTGCTGTTTGGGGGAAAACATGGTTTGTGATCTTGGCGGCGATCTTTTCTGCTCTCGAGCGCTTTTTGGGGGTCGGTGCTATCTGAAGCTTTTCAAGGGATTTTCGTTTGCCGAGCCGTTTGGGCTTACCTGCCCGGCCGCATCTGGCCAAGCCTGATATTGTGCGCCCCTTTTTCCTTTTTCCTCCTCGCAGACTTGTCTTCTCGGCCTCGGCAGGTACAATGGTGATGCCATGTGATGCCTGGTTGCCTTCTTGGCCTTCTGAGAAGGCTTTGGAGGCCCGATGAGATAGTTTCCTTCTACTCTATCGATATTTCACTTCTCAAGACCTATCTCCCGAATCCTGCGGGCAGGCTTCTTGCTGCCCGATGTTTTTGCGGGGTTTTGGTGCATCCTGACCTTCTGCAGGACCTCTTGTTGGGAAGGGCGGGGCGGTTTTTGGATCAAAGCACATTACCGCTGTTTCAAGTTCGAGACTAGACCAATAAAATGGAGCTTTCTGCCATGTTGGAAGCCGACGCGAGCATAAGACGCCGCGCCCGAAATGCGGGACAAATCACGGAGTGGCCTTCGGTTGAGACAACGTCATTGCCATCGATGCGTGCAATGACATTAAACTTGCGTGCACTGATGGTGGTCACGCGATGGTGGGTTTCCCGACAGCCCACCCCAAAGTGCATTCCAATTGGCACAATGCGTGCCCAAGTCCTTTGTCTCGTTTAGCCTTTCGATTTCAAAAAGAGTTGGGGGTTGTGTGACAAGTTCGCTAAAGCAACCCAGTCTTTGACATCGCCCACCTCCCCACACTAGGTCACGGCATTCAGGCGGCTCATGGGCCAACCGGTTGGCTTCATCGGGGTGGACTCATGGGGGTTAAAACGCTTATTTAGTCACGGCCTCCGACGATGGCTAAGTGGCGCCCAACGTCCCAGAGATGCTTGGCACGGTTCTTGTTTTTTTGAGTTTACCTTCAACTTCCTTGACACAAACAAGTTCCCTCTAGCGCTGCCCCGTTCTGATGCCCACTATCAATCTTAGGACCCCCAGCTGGCAGAGTTTTGGCAGGCATTGACTGATGCGTGGGAAGAACCCGAAATGGGGGGTGATTCGGCTGACAGCGACGTTATGTTGGCCTTAGAAGATGGCCAAATTGACAATGTGGCTGATGATGGTTACAGCGGGGCCGTGGATTGCGAGCATCCAGCTGATGGTGAATCCCTTGGGGCTCATGAATCTGGAAGCTTGGAAGGGGACGACCTTGATGATGACACCTTTCAACATCAACTCATGGGGGCCCTTGCTGATTCCAACACAAAGGGTGCGCCCGACTCTCCTCTCAAGCCAGCTGCAGTAGAGCACACTGACCTCAACCAAGAGCCCGGGCCAATGGACAGCGCCAGTGAGGCGAATCGCCGAGAGGAGCTGCTTGCAAGGATGGCCTTGGTCAGGCGGGGGCTCCCCTTGTCCAAAATCTGGGCAATAGCGAGCAGCAACGTCTAAACTAGCTGCAGCGCAACAAGGACAAGAACTACAGCAAAAGCAATCAAACATCCAACAGCAAAACACGCGCAACGGCAAGCATAGCAACGACTGCAACAACACCGCCGCATCATCAGCGCCATCATTACCAACAACAAGCAAGCAACAGCAGCACCAACAGCAACAGCAACAGCGACAACAACATCAACGGCAGCAGTACCATTTGCAGCAACAGCAACATCAACAGCATCTGCAATATCGCCACCACCACCACCACCACCGCAACCGCCACCACCACAACCGCCACCACCGCCACCGCCACAAGCACAAGCGCCAGCGCCGGCACCAGCACCAGCACCAGCACCGCCACCACGACCACAACAGCAGCAGCAGCAGCGGCGACGACGACAACGACGACAACGACATCGACATCGACAACGAACACCACGACCACAACAACCACAACCACAACAAGCACAACAACCGCAACAAGCGCAACAACCAACCAGCGACACCCACAACCGCACAACTGTAGCAACAACCGCAGCAACAACGTAACAAAAGCAAAGACACAAATTTAAAAGGCAACGACACCCACCACCAGCAACATCAATCGAAACAACCGCTGTACAACTACAGCTGTTACTGCCGCTGCCTCTGCATTTTTCGTTGTTGCCCCCTTCCTTACACCCTTCAGCCAAACATGTTCGCGGATTAGTGAGTGGCCCTGATTTTGGGGCGCCGACTTCTTCTAGGCAACAGCTGGACCAGAACCGATTGCGGCGCCTCCAGAGCGTCGCCAGCGATTTGGGGCGCTACTGGGCTGGTAAAGCAACTGTTTGAGGTTAAACGGATTCTCTGCGTTTGCGGGAAAGTTCAAATACGGACCTGCAAGCCAATTGGCAAGGCGGGGTCACGGACAACATGGAAACTTTGCCTATGAACGAGATGGCCTTGGACAGCGCTTTGGCCCGTGCTCAGAGTATGCCGCAGTCGCCTGTTTCCATTGCTTCTTCTACTACCTTGTCCTTGGGCGCGCTGCATGAGATGACCCAAAAGACCCCCGAGTCCAAGTCCAAGAGCCAGCTGAAGTCAAACTCGCAGGAACCAACGCCCGAGGATGTGGCGAGCGGGTCCCAAGAGCTCATTGGGCACCCCGCCGACTCGTCATCCGCCAAGATGACCACGAGCACCACTCCTTCAACGGTGTCTTCTGGGAACAAGGTTAACTTGCTGGCCTTGGAGGCTGGGGTCTCGTGAAGGGGTGTTCCACACAAGGGGTGTTGGAGGTGTGCTTCCTAGCTGGCCTACAATTTTGCATCCCGTTGAACAAAATCTTGGGCGTACTTTGACAAACAGCGTTTGCCAAGAAGTTCGTTGAAAGGGTTTAGCTTGGTAGCTCAGACACAGGTGCCACTTGTCACTCGTCGCGAGCAGCTTGGCACGGCAACGGCTGGGGAAGCAGAAGATGGAAGTGAAGACGAAGACGGAGAGCACAATCCCGACATCGTCGATGAGGACCCAAAGTTGCAAGCCCCGAAGAAAGCCGGCAAAGGCCGCGGCCGTGGCCGTGGTCGAGGCCGCGGTCGCAATGTCGCGAACGACGAGAAGGGCGACAAGGCGGATGCTGAGGTGGAGCCGCAATCCTCTGGCGCCAAGACCAGCAAGCCGCAGAACAACGAGGTGAAGGCTTCTGGCAAGGCTGCGGAGGGCAAGGTCGGGCAGAACAACGAGGGCCACGTCAAGAAGCACAACGCTCTTGCGGGCAAGGCGGACGCTGAGGTGGAGGCGGAGTCGACTGATGGCAAGACCCCCAAGCCGGAGAAGATGAACGCTTCTGCTGCGGCCGGCGCGAAGCCGGGAAAGAAAGAGGCAAAGGCTTCTGCTAACATCGCGAGCAAGGCGGACGCTGAGGTGGAGACGGACTCCGCTGAGGGGAAGAGCTGCGTGCCGGAGAAGAACGAGGTGAAGGCTTCTGGCGCAGCAGGCACTAAGCCGGGTAAGAACTTGAGCAAGGTGAAGGCTGTGGAGGGCAAGGTTGAGCAGAGCGACGAGGGCAACGTCAGGAAGGGCGACAAGGCGGATGCTAAGGTGGAGCTCGAGTCCACGGACGTCAAGCCCCGCAAGCGCAAGCAGAGTACAAGGAGCGCAAACGACAACGAGAA